GAGTCTTATATTTTTTTTACCCTTTCAAACTCTAATTTGTACAAATGAACAACATAACCTATCTATAATTTATTATACTCTCAATAAAGAATATTTTCATAAATAAAAAACGGAAACATTTTGTGCAACAGACTTAATAAGACATTTCTACTAAAATACACTGTTAAATACAATTAAGATGTCACATTTCCAAACAATTCAAATCCGTGGATCACCGAAAGAAATAAATGAATCACGAAATGAAAGAAAGAAACGGCACGTGTACCTGTTAATTTTTCCTCAAAGTTCAACTCCTACAAAACACGCCTTACATCTTTGCCAAACTGATAAAACTGTTTGCACAGAGTGTGATCCCTTAATTATGTTTAGCAGCATATATCAGCCGCCGAGTGTCTTAAAAAAAACGCGTGTGACAAGTACTCACATGTCTGTGATGGGCCGGAGTAACGTGCGCAGCACACGTAATCCTCGTCAAAACGGCGACAAAAACGGCACACACTCGGAACACTGATCGAGCACACCGAAACCAGTTCACTTCAGTCGAATAATAATCGCACGAGAACATCTACAACTACGCCATAGGATCCCATCCCGTGGATCAGCGGAAAAGAAAAGTCATCTGGTCTCCATCCTCCTCTCCCCTCCCTTCCTCTCACGCCATTCCCCCTCGCCAATGTTTATCTCTGACCGTAAAACAGTTCACCGTAACATAATAACCAAGCGTGCACGCTTGTGTACGTATGCGTGTGTGTGTGCATATACACAGTCGTTACAGCAACATGATAAAAAGAAAAAAAAAAATCATCGAGGACGAAAAAAAATAGGCACGCCGCGCAGCGTCACTCTTCCCCTTTTTTGCAACCGTGTTGTCTACAGTTTGACGCGCCAAGTTCGATCGTCCATGATTGTACCCGTCATTTCCCGCGTTTCAAACGCGAATAAATTTAACTAAGTGGTGGATCTTGCCCACGATCCCGGGACTCGCCCCTTCGCTGGCCGCTTGTCGTCAATCGCACCGCCCATCTCCCATCTCTTTACGTTTAAAACGACGATAAACTCGGAGTCCGTTGGAAAATCGCGTACGAAGAATGATCCGCCGCGAGGTGGCCACGAAACGAGGTTAATGGCACTCGAGATGTTCCAACACAGCCTGTTTGTTCCCTCGGACACGTCGTTTCCCCCCGATCAGCTGCACCAATTCTCACTGATTCGTTCGAGAATACCATACGGTGGGTTATACGTAAAAGTAACGTGAACACGGCCACTTAATCGCACAGGATACCCGTGAACGTCGCTTTCCACCAACAGCAGGGACGGCACTTATGGTAACCCACTTTCCAGCGACATCGTTTTTTTTCATTCCACCACGATTCACCACGAACAACGTTGACGACACCTCCAGTTTCCACGGTTCCGATGACAGTAACCGGTGATTCGATCGTTGAAAACCCCGTTCACAGTCAATTTCCAGGTATGTGACACTCGAAGACGACCAGCTGACAGCATCGAGATTGCGACGAGGAAAACAGCCCTCGCCTTGCTCCATTTACCATCGCTTTTAACGGATCATCTTATCACCATTACCTCTCCATACACCGTTCCCGATCGTCCCTCGAATATAACGACAACTCCGTGCACATTATGAACGATCCACCGCTATACGAAGCACGAAAACAGCGAACGTGCGACGAGAGTGGTGCACACATCGAATAACCTCGCGCAGTCAAAATGGTGGACGACACTCCCGTGTTCCGCTTTAACTCGGTCGCCCGCCGCGTCCTCGTCCTCTTCGCTCGGTTGATAATCGTCGATCCACCGCACAGTTGCTGTACAATACACGCCAACAGCACCGATATTAGACGGAATCACACTAACGAACGATTTAGAATGGTGAGATACGATCGAGCAGAGTGCACTGGAACCGCCTTCTGGTGCACAACACAACACAGCACCTCCTAACGCGTAAAGTGGACCACCCGGCTGGCGCGTCCTTACATCCGTTTCCACGGTCGCGTGTCCCTTCACCGATGTCCCTTAGCGGCTGGGGAACGATAAGTAGGGTCCGAAAAGGGCCTCGGCCCGGTCACCTGATCGTGGCGTGGAAAAAAGCTCCACGAAAGACGGCAGCGTCGACAGGCTCCTCGCTGAGGGCATTCCAGCGCAGGCAGGGTGGACCGAAACGAACGCCGCGCCATCTGGCGACTAAGCCGTTGACCCGACAACTGGCATGGCCGCGCAACCAACCCTCGCGTCAATAACAATCGAATCGTACCGTGTCTTGCTGCAACGTTCGTATCGTGGCAAGCCAACGTCATCCTCCTGCTAGCCGATACTCGTCATACCTGGAATAATACCGATCGCACGTGATCGGGGATAATGTTGTTCGTTTCCCTTTGCGTCCGATTTCGTGCGTTTTCGATTAACCGCGCACCGAACAACAGGGGCGGCTGCGCGATTCGGACTGAGCGCAGCTTCGCATGGGAACCGCGACCCGATGGCGGAAACACACGAGACTATACGAACGCGGCTTCCCTGAACAATCTCGTCGATTGTCGAGACACCTGGTCACCGTGTAGCGAACTTTCAATGGACCGCGCTGTCGATTTAAGGGAAGAAGAGTATCGTATGGTCAGACAGTGACCTGTTGGTACGGAAATGGGAACGAGCTGTGATATAAAACTGTGATATAAATAAAGACAACGGAATAAATGAAAATTTGTTTTTGAACCGACGATTAACATTTCTTTAAACCCGGTTATCGCATTGTGGAAATGTATTTTCAAATTTTACCATTTCTCAATTAAGTAAAAATTAAAATATTCTTTATTTTCTTCTTTTATTTTCCATAATTTTTCCTTTATTTTTTCCCTTAATCACGGAATTGGTTACTGCGTTAAAAAAAATTTACTTCCTTGTATAAATCGAAATAAAATTTTTAAATACCACCGCAGCAAATCTTTCTTCACCTTCGATTGAACAAACAGATCACAGAAATGATCAGATGTATTGAAATATTATGATAATTGTGTAAATGGTCAAAGTTACGAAACAGGATTGTATTAAAAATTTACTTTGACATATGCGCGGTATCGTAATATTTAAAATTCATATCACGCATTTCCTCTTCTTCTTCTCCATAGTCTACTGAAACTTCCTCCCCCTTAGATACCTGAAACATTATTTTAAATTGCCCTTCTCTTGCTCAAAAGTGGAAAAGTTTCTATTTATATGAAATGATCCTATCAGATGTTGCAAAAGCAAAAAATAATAACATACTTTTTTTCAAATTACTGTACCATATTATTTTTGTTAATCTTATTTCTACTTGCACTAAAAGATGTCCTAATATTTCTAATTACGAAAGAGCAACAAAGTAGGAGAACGATGAAATATGAAAATTTTAGTAACAGCACATACTGGTTCTTCAATCAAAGACCGGAAATAATTCAGCTCATTATCTTTCTCTAATTGCCACCGACTACGCTCTTGACATCTTCTATAATTTAACAACCAGAATCCGAGATAACCGACTGGGTCACAAGGTTTCCTTGATACAATTTCCTTAATTGCCATTTTCAATGGTAATTTAAAACATTTCCTTAGCCATTTACCATCAAAAGACAATTCTAATTCATCCGTTACGCTAGTGGAACATTGTATTTCACTTTCTTCTCCTTCTTCTTCTTCTTCGTCTTCCATTCTTTCGTCAATATCATCTTTGAAAATGTAATTACTTTTTTATAATATACCGACGTGATCGCTGTTTCTGTACTTTTCCAATTAACATTTTATGGTACACTAACGTTTAAAATAATCATCGTAAACGTGTACCTTGAAATATATTATTTAACTTACTAAAGACCTTTTTAAGAGTTTCGTCAACTTTTTTATCAGTATCACTGCCATTATAATCTTCAAAAATTTTCCTAGCCTTATCGTTCGTCTCGTTACATTTTTCTGAGCTCGAGATTAATGGTAAGCAACCTAATTGACTATGAGCTGGCATCAATGCTGTCAATATCTCTTTCGCAGTTACTTTCCTGGTGATATTACGACAAAATAATTTTTACGATAAAATAAAAATAAAAATGAAATATAACAGATAATTAAAATTGTATCTGTATGCGATAAAATGACTGAAAATGAGTTTATTTCACCTTCTCTCTGAATGAACGCTAACTCTTTGTTCGATTTTCTTCGCGAAAACGTTCAAAGGATCTGGAACACTCGTATCGCTCGACACCGACTGTTCCTTCTTCATTTTCAGCGATTTTAATTCTGAAATTAAGAAATACTTTATTACAGTGAAACCGGTGAAAATATGACATTAATAATATATGAGTTAATAGTACCACTTCTTATACTATATACATTGAATTTTGCAGTGAAACAACCTTGAATTACAAATTTCATTCAGCCAAATTAACGGTACTCGCATTTGTCAAGCATATAGGGTGTATCGTGAAAAAACAATTTTCTGTTTTCTAGGAAATTAATTAAAAATAGTCTGTGAGAAAATATCACGTAACACTCTCTACATGAAGCGCAAAGTTTTCAAACACATTTCTACACAGCTTTTTATGTACGAAATAATTATAATTGTACCATAGCGTTCTCTCTACATCCTATAATGTATCTGGGACAATTCCACGGTGACGAGTCAATCCTCCACGTAGCAGCAATAAATTTCGAAACAGTGACTCTTAATATTGTCATTAGCTATTTGTGACGTGATCTCGCGATAACGGTGCAGAACTGCCAATCACGGATAGCTAATGTTTACGTCGACCGATGTTTTTCAGGAATGATTAACACCATGTTCCGATTATAAACAGAAAAGGATAGTCGAAGATAAGAAAAATATAACCGTAGAAATTTCCGCGATAACACATTTTTATGCGCCACGCTCGGAGACAAACACATGCTGCATACATAATGATCAAACTCTTCTTCCTGATAGAAGTTTCATGAACTACATGAGTCAGTTCGGGAAACTTCAGCGGACTAGGTAAGGCAGGCATTACATCCTGCACATCTCGTCTAACACCCAGGACCGAGATGCCTGACGAGAGCCTGAAGAAAGATGTGGTTAAAAAGATCACTATCTGGCCACAATTACTGGCTACCGGTACACGTGAGTATACTGAAGCCTAACATCACCGTTAAAACGATTAAGAAAAAAATATTTGAACAATCTTAAATGAATTTGCATACACGTGAGCAAACATTTCCTGATTTATATCACTAACGAATAGGTTGAATTTGAATAAATCAATATTCATAGAACAGAAAATTGTTTCATCACAATGTCATCTGATAGTTCAAGTGCACGATGTTTGCCTAACATGAAACTTGATCAAAACGCTATAGCACCAATCCCTAGCGCATCAAAATGCGCCGTATCCCGTGCATCAAGGCGCTTGCAGACCTATATGTCTATGAATAAGCTAATGAAATTACTCTCGCATCCGTTGACACAACTGTTTCATGGCCTTCTGTGACAGTCAGCCTAGCTGTTATCGGAAGTGGTCTCGCGAATGGTTGGGCATCGCCGTACTTGGCTCAACTGACATCAACGGAAGCGAACGTGCCTTTGAGACTGACAGATACCGAAGCGTCCTGGGTAGCATCCCTTTTAAATCTTGGTCGGCTCGCTGGCGCTTTGCTCAGTGCACTGTGTCAAGGTAAGGTCGTTTCCTCACTGTCAGAAAATTCATCCGGTCAGATCCGTTAATTTACACTGTCCGATGGTACTTTACAAAGGACATATACATACTTGAACTTGAGAAACGTTCGTTTGAACCCTTGTTCTTGAATATTACCAGGAAATGTTGAGTGAACTTTTCGAAAATTAATTACACACGTAGATCGTGCTTGATCCGATCGAACCTCTCTTGCAGCACATGATCAAGTGACCAAGCAAGGCGAAGAATGGACGATCAACATTGTTAATCGAGAATTGAATAAGAACAAGGCAGCCACGACTCAGCACTCACATGTAGAAAAACATGATACGAAATTGTGGTACGTAGCAAAACTGAATGCAAAACGAAAGTAATGGTAATATCGTTAGAAAAATCAGTGTTGAGAAAGAAAGATACACTTTTAGAATTCAATGATCCCAGTAAACGATCATCAGTTCTGAGTTGTGGTGATCTTGTTCTCAGGTAAATCTAACTTTAACATGTCGCAACATCATCTTCAGAGTATATTGGACGGAAGAAAGTGCTTCTACTTGGTGGTGTACCATTGGCAGCCAGCTGGGTATTCAGCATTTGTGCCACATCGGTCATGTGGCTCTACACGTCCAGGTTTTGCTCGGGAATCGGGTCGGGGATGATATGGTCTGCTTTATCTCTATATCTAAGCGAGATCGCCAATCCGAAAATTCGTGGATCACTGGTAAATTCTTGTTACTTCTATCCTCGCATCACGTAAAACTCTAAAGAAAATTCTCCGCTATCGAAATAAATGGAAAGAAAAGATCGTTCAATCGAGTAAACGATTAACAATTTTTATAAAGAAGAAAATTAACTCGACGTTCTTATCTTCTCGTACAAATTAAATTGGCTAAAACGATTCTCTTAAAGCGGTGCAATTTTTTTCTTTTCATCCATACGAATATTCTCAATCAGATTTCCTATCCGATAAAGTGATACTTGTGATCACGTCTTCAGATATCCATGAACGTGAATGCGTCTTCCTTTGGTTTGTTCTTGGGCAATTCAATAGGACCTTATTTGTCCATGGAGATGTTCGGTTACGTGAGTCTCGTTCCGAATATTCTCTTCATAATCCTCTTCAGTTTGATACCCGAATCACCCTACCATTATCTCCTGCATGGGGATATCGACAAGGCCGAAGAATCCTTGAAGTGGTTTAGGCGAGAAGCTGACGTCAAAGCCGAGATGCGAGATCTTCAAGAATTCGTCGACGGGGCTGAAACTAATATTTTCATAAAGTTCAAGGAATTTCTTATACCAAGTACCCATGATTCTGTTCTTTCTCTCTCTCTCTCTCTCTCTCTCTCTCTCTCTCTCTCTTTATCTCTCTTTCTTTCTTCTCTCTTTTGCTTAAACGTTGCCGTAACATAAGTTATAATACAAAAGAGTTTCACCACCGTTTACCGTCAGCAACTTGAATTCCTCGCAGAAATTCCGTGTTTCGCCGCTAACACTTCGCTCTCGATATAATTATTAAATATTCAAAATTGTTCCCGCGAAAATTAATATCAGTTAAGCCGACGTTCATCGTATCTATTAAACGCGGTATTCCGTAGTTTAGTCTCCCCTCTTTTCGAATATCTGCAAACTAATCGTGAACAACTTTAGAAAGCTTCTTCGTACCTATCCCTTGTGTTCCCGGTACGTAATGAAAATTTTAAGCATCGAACTTAAGAAAGTAATAAGGATAGCGATACGACCAGCTAACAATTTTTTCCTCTGCTTTATTTCAGAAAATTTAAAGAAAGCCCTCGTCGTGGTCGGTGTCTACGTGTTCTCCTATCTCAGTGGATACAGCGCGCTGACATCCTACGCAGAGATCATTCTGACGAAAAGCGAAATCACCGTGAGACCAAGCCTCGTGGTGATGATCCTTGGATTTTCTACGATCATCGCTGGTTTATCAGCCACGTTGCTCGTCGACAAATTGGGCAGAAGATGTTTCTTGATAATGTCCGGTATAGGAACGTCGTTGTCCTTGGCGCTGTTAGGGTTGCATTTTCATCTTCTCTCGTTGGAATTCGATCCTGCAACATTGACATGGTTACCGATAGTCGCTTTATTAACATTCAATCTGTCCATGTCTTCGGGGCTACAACCGATTCCAAGCACTCTGTTAGGTGAGATGTTCACGGCAAATATTAAAAACATGGCCTCGTTATGCGTATCTTCCAGCAACGCGGTATTGTCGTTTGTAAGTGCAAAAACGTATCAGCCCTATTTAGACTTGGTTGGTGACAAATTCGTGTACTGGAGCTACAGTATTTGCGTGCTATTCTCTGTACCGTACGTCTACTTTTTAATCCCAGAAACGGCGGGCAAAAGTCTGTTAGAAATACAGCGAGCGATAAAAAAGTGACAGTGTATCACACACTTTTTTTTTAACTTTATTTTGCAAAACGAAGAAATTATCTGCTTGTATAAAGTGTAATTTACCATTTCAAGACTCACTCATCCCCTGTTACATTTCACTTCATACATTTCCACGAAATAATGCTCAAAAATACACTAAATTAATTTAAATTCACTTTTTTATTATCACCACTATTATTGTACTTAATGTTATCGTAATATTGGTGAGCATCCCTTGGTAAGAGATCCATAAAAATATACGTGAAGAGAAGAAATCACAGAGATATATGCGCAATAGATAAAAAGCTCGATATCTAGAAAGAGACATCTCTGTTGGAAGAGAAGGGCTAAAGTATGATTATCATCAAACGTAAAGGTATATTTGATACTATTTGAAACGTTAACGCGATGAAACCTTATTTCTTCGAAGACACAATGCAGAAGTAATAGAAATAAAGAACCATTCTTTGATATCGTTTTTCTCGAACAATCTGTTCCAACTTTGTAAGTACATGCTTAGCGAGTTGAAAGTTTAATTTTGTTGCACGGGAAACTTTAATATCAATTTACGTATAGGCCTGAATATCTACTTACATCATCAACTATTCGTCAGACGGTATATCAGAAACAGATGAAGCAGGGAGCGACTCAGTTGCAGAATGATTACATTAATATTGCACACGGTTGCAGCGAAGGGGAAACGTAAATAAAACCTTATGTTTTACTATCTAGCCTCTAATAGTGTTATAAAGAATTCCCTGCTGGGAGACATTGGCGGCACATGTGAGAAAAAAGGTTTCGATCACAGGCACGCATGCAATTTCGCAAAAGGGAGAACATGAAAGAACCCTCTAAAACGTCGATCGACTATTATATACTACCGAATAAAATCCTGTGCGGTATGGCCGGTGTCTGGCCTATCGACGAGAAAAGTTCAACGCGTACCAAACTATTCGCATACTTTCGGCTGATATTCGGATTAGTGGCACTCAATAGCATGTTAGTGCCAGAAATTATGATGGTAATATCGAATTGGGGCAACTTAAGGATCCTAGCAGGCAAGTCTAAATAGAATTAATCCAAGTTCCAATCCATCCTATCTCGCGGGTACAATGAACTTCCACTTCCTTCTGAAACCAGGAGTAGGATGCGTTTTAACAACACTCGGGCAATCGTTATTCAAAACGATTTACCTAATAATGAGAAGGGATAAAACCTACAGACTTTACTACGAAATACGTGATCTGTGGCATTCTACCGACGATCCCAAAGAGAGACAGAACTTCGAAAATCTCGCTTATTGGGCAAGAACAATTACAATAGTCTTTTACTCGGCCTGCATGTGGAACGTGTTCACATTCACGTTTGCTGCGACCCACGATTATTTCATGATCGAATACAACATCAGCAACGCTGAAAAGAGCAAACACTTGCCCTTCGAAGTCTGGTAAAACTTGTCCTCTTCCACTTGATTATCTTGCTGTATTGGTCGTCGAATACTTTCAGTAGATTCCTAACTTTCAAGTCAGACCTAGCTAATCAAAACTAGTACTATCGAAGGCATTTCGTCAATATACTAGAGTTAACTAGCGTAGTTTGTTAGAATTATAAGATCGGGTTTTCGTGAAATTCAGGCTTTATCTGTAAAATATAAAAAACAAAAAATCATCGACATGAATTTCCTTATTTTATACGAAGTATACGAAATAGTTTAATTTCAATGTTTAATTTATGGTACCTAATGCTGCTAGGTATGGAACAGATATCACAGCATCTCCTCTCTTCGAAATCGCTTTCGTTTGTCAACTGATTGCGGTTGCATTTGTGGCCGCCTCAACCTCAGGCTTGGATGGATCATGTATGACCACGATTTTACACGTATCTGGACAATTCAAATTAATCAGTACGTGGGTCAGCAAAATGGGAGTAGAAACAAATGTCAAACCTGTTTATTCGCGAAAATTAGAAGTGGACCTGATCAAATGCATTCGTCATCACCAACGAATGATAAAGTAAGTGAGATCCTCTGCTATCTACCACGTTCGTCAGTTTGGTAACCAATTTCTCTCTCTCTCTCTCTCTCTCTCTCTCTCTCTCTCTCTCTCTCTCTCTCTCTTCTTTTGTCGCACCTTTAAACGCGTAATATTCGACACATTTAATGATACTGCTACTTTTATACAGCGTGGTGAATGATGTGAATAATTTATTTACTCCCATCGTTTTCGTACAACTTCTTACAAGCGGAATAGTAATTTGTTTAAGTGGATTCGCGGTTTTCGATAACGACGCCCGTACCGATATTCTGAAATACGTATCTTATTTGTCCTCGATTTGGTTGCAACTTTTGTTATGGTGTTTGCCCGGTGAAATTCTCGTTCAAGAGAGTTTAGAAATAGGACACGTAGTCTACTTAAATGTACCATGGTACAATTTGCCGCCAATTTACCAGAGAAAACTTTGCATGATGATCCTTAGGGCACAACAATATTGCAGCATCACGGCATTAACGTTTCGAACGTTGTCTATTCACACGTTAACGAGCGTGAGTGATTTTTTTTGCTAATTTTTATATACCGTAACACGATATATAATTATTCCCGGGTTAATGTAACCCCGTTTTCTTCGGTTTGTCGTAGCAACAATCTGTTCCCGCCAAATTATACCTATTCCCGCCAAATTATATATGTTCCCGCCAAATTATATATATTCCCGCCAAATTATATCTGTTCCCGCCAAATTATACCTATTCCCGCCAAATTATATATGTTCCCGCCAAATTATATATATTCCCGCCAAATTATATCTGTTCCCGCCAAATTATATCTCTTCCCGCCAAAAATTCTGGCGCGAAAAATGAATCGTACTATAACGTAAATAAAAATTTGTGTATTTTCCATAATATACTCCTAAGGATATTACCTGAAATTGTCCCGATGAAATTTAGTCGAAACGCGGCTTTGTCTGAATTATTTTTCGAATTTCGAATCGATCTTTGAGAAATTTATCAAATATCGACTTTCGATTTCAGGCATGCCATCGTGTGTTATTACATTAACCCAACAAATTTAGGAATTATAAAATATTTATAATAAAACGCTTCAAATGAAATGAATTTTTGCAAAATAATAATTGAATAACAATATGCATATTGAAACATAAACTTTATTTCAGGTATTCAATACAGCCGCTTCATATTTCACTTTGCTGCGACAAATGCAACAAAAGTAAACTCCAAATAGACGCTATACGCAATCTAAGATTTCACTCGTCTCGAAAAACAATCTCCATCGAAAATAGTCGAATATACATCTTAAAACGCATAGCATCCGCATATGATAGGTCAAAATATAATCTGTACCTAATTAAAAGAGTAAAACATAGTTTCTTATTATACCTGGCATTGTTCTTCCATAGAATATAAATGTTGCACGTAATATCCGGTATAAAGACCTTCGTCAATCGTGGAATACTAAACAGTCGTATGTATCAATTAATACACTATATCCAAGCTGTGTTCGCATGCAGAAACGTAAAACTTTATCCTATTATTTAAAAATTTGCAAATCTGACAGTTTCCCGTTCAAGTTTTAAAACGGGAAATTGGTACGGTAGCACGATTAAAAGTTATTTGGTCATTGTAATTATTATCCTTTCGTAGTGGTAGCACTGACGTTTGACTTTATATTTTGCGGGAAAACTT